AATGTGTGAAGTTTGGTAAAAAGTTCTATGATTTCACATTTCACAAGGATTCGTTTCTTTTTAAACAGCTGAGAAAAAGTCTTGAATTCTTTCACCCAACAGCGATAAGAGGACGCAATGGAACGCTCATCCTTGTGTTTGCCTTCATTTTAGCGTCTCTGCGTCCAAATTCTGGCCCTGGAGAGTGAAACAAACCAAACACTGGATCTCCTCCTTGATGATGATGAATGTTACACTGAACAAAGCCAAAAAGTCTGATTGCACCAGATACATTTTCATTAATTTCATCTACATGTGTGACTGATATATTTATCGTCGGACAAGCCAAGGTGCTGCTAAGGTTTTTACCCTTTTTGGTGATGTTGAAACAGGCCCCTGACTCTGGATGTAGTCTTACTAGTTCAGAAATAGTTCCCTAAAAAGGACATTTTATTTGCAATTTCGATCTACACATAATAATGTAGTGAAGTCACTTGAAGAGGTAAACAACATCGTGTTATCTTTGACATTATAAATAATAATCGTATGTCCAAATTTTAACATTAAAACATTAAACCTTAATATTTCATTTCTGTACATAAATTATTAATTTCTGCAGATGAATTCATAATTACAAAGCACAATCAGTCAATCATGAAAACATATTTGATAGGTAGGTAGGTAGGTAGGTAGGTAGGTAGGTAGAGAGCAAGGAGTGAAGGAACAGAAGTAGCTCATAAACCGCTCAACACCTGGTAATAAAAACATGAACACTAAAAGACAACATGTTCCTTATCTTCTCCACCCTGCTCTGAACTACCACACCACCTTGTTTGTCTGAAAGCTCCTTTCGAACTGGAGCCTCCTGAAAGACCTTTTTACCCCCCATGTCTCTGAGCACATGTAGGTACATGCATGAAGTAATTTCTTATTCTTGAAGCCACATTTTTCTGTTACATTTCCTTGTATAAAGGGGCCCACCAGGGAAAAAAGAAAGAGGGAGAGAGAGAGTACAGAGGGATAACAAACATCCATTCTTTCCCTCCGGCTAAGGACTTCCTGGTTGTGTCAGTCACTCAGCCCAGAACAAGATTGCACAAAGGCTCAACAAGAGACTTTGGTATTAGTCCCATTTCATGCAGGTGTAGACATGCACACACTCTGTATAGTTTCTATTTTATTTTGTACCACATATGAAAAGCACTTCTCATACTGTGAATGTTCCTTGGATGAAGTGTGTCCTTACTGCTGCAGTGCGTTAATGGAAGAACTGTCATCATCATCTATAGGATCATTTGGTATTTTTCTGAATAAGAGAGCGTAAATGTTTATTGAGCCCCGGAGGCACGTAAGCAAATCTGACCTCATCTCAGCAGATATAAAATGTGTGCTTTCAGTGGGAGTTCAGATGGAAACTAGCTTCAGCTTGATTTTGTAAATCACAAAATCTGCTGCACTCAATCGGACAGCTGTTTGGTTTCTGTGCACAATTATAATCAGAGATCTGCATCGCCTAATAAACTGCTTGACTGAAGCCATATCAGCCATATGTTGAGGTGGAAAGTTACTTTGTAGTTAAAGTTAATAAGATCAGTGACCTAATAAGATATATTAGTATTTCCATTGGTGCAAAGTCTGCTACATTTCAAACAGACATATTGTCCATTTTACTCCATATTTTACATTTAACACGAGATAAACCCAAAAAATATCACCATTATCTTTATTTTGTGTTTTTTTTATCCTTTTATTAGGAATTTATTTCCTTCTTCAAATAATCTGAAAGCAAATAACACAAAATCCTTGAATGGAGATTCAAGGTTGTTGGGTTTTTTTACACTTAAGGACAATTTACGGCAATTTTTCGTTAACTTTTTCTCAAGTAACAATTTGAATCCGGGACTTTGCTGGAAGTACTGAAATGTCAAATCAGTGCCACAGCAGAATTCTTTATATGATTTGTAAAAAATATCTCTTCCCACCCAGCAAGACACCGGCTGAGACATACAAAGACACCCGATCAGACCTACAAGCTGGCAAACAGGCTCCTTTGTTGCACCCTTGAAACCAAACTTACACTGGTGTTGAAAGCGCTGAAAAGAGGTCTTGTGTAGGCAGCACAAGAGAATGTAGGACAGTAACTCGTGTTTGAACTCCTTTTTAAAAAGCTCCTGCTATCAGCTTCGGATTTTACACCACATTCTGCTGGTAACTAAAATCAGAAGCTCGGAGGAAAGTTTGAGAGAATAAGTGACAACAAGGGGAACAGAAAGAGGCTGGGAGAGAAAAGCAAAGGGTTGAAAGGGCAAGAATGGAGTGTGTTTGTGTGTCTGTGCGACAGAGAGCGAGAGGTGATTACTTTGTGTTAATCTAGTATCAGCTTTCCACCACTTGGAGGCTTCCCAGTGTATTACTCATTATCTGCAGACAAGTCTGTTAAATACAGATTAGACGGGGCGAGAAAAGAGACGCAGTATTCCTGAACTTTCTCATGAAACTCTCTTTGCAGAAACAATCTGTCTTCCCATGGGTTATCTGGGCTTTTCTCCGCGATGTCCCCACTTTTTTTTATTTCCTTCATGTGTTTTTTTTTTTCTCACTCTCATCCAGCTGTGCTCCATATTTCAACTTCTCTTTCCAGCAGATTTTAAATTGAGCTATCTCCCGTAATTCAAAAGAAGTCACTGAAAAAAAAGACCTTTTAAGCTTTCATCTGTCAGGGGTTTCTCTTTTTTTCCAGGAGTCATCATATTTTTTTGATGACCTAGCTGATTTTGAGCCATGCAAGGCCACACATTTCCTCATAATTACTTTCTACTTTCAAAAAGCAAAATCAATAAATCTATACAAATGTACACATGAGTCTTGGTACAGTAAGTGCACGGTGAGTGCTCCATTTATACGGTAGCGCCTCGCCGATTGCAAATCCAATAAGGTCTTTGTAGCCACATGCCACCCATGCATTTCAGAAAGCTGTTTACAGCAGTTATCAACACTGGAGAAATGGTTAATTCAAGAGTTTGTCTCTGAAAAACAATGAGCTCGGCAGGAATTATTAAAAATGTGATGGAAGTTTTTACATATTTTTAAGTATTATATAATTGTATATAAAAAGGAAAAGATGCCCAAACCAACCACAGCATCAGGAAAGGATGCCTGCTTGCCTAATGTTTACAGGAAATGGTTTTTCGAGTATGAGAACTGCGACTGGGAGCCCCACATAGACAGCAGAAGCACTTATGGTTGGGAAAAGACTGTCGTGTTGGTTAAATGTGACCAAAGTTAACATGTTGTGTCATGAAATCACTGTGGAATATTTCTGTATTAAACCCAGACAACAATCTTTTCCAAATCTTAATCAAGTGCAGTCAGAGCTTAAACATAACCATTAAAAGTCTCATCATGCTTCTTCAGTTGCTTTGAGCAAGTATTGTATTCAGGACTGAACTACTTTATTTTCATTATTATTTTAGTTAGATAGTTTTTTCTTTAGAAATATTTTTTTAATGTCAGAAAATACTCAAAAATGGCCTTCATGAAATCACCCAATGATCACCCAAACAAGGTTTGAAATGGCTCGTTTTTGTTTGATTCTCTCTCTCGTCGCTTTTTGTGACACACTTGATCCAATGTAAAATACATGGTATTGGATAATCAATACTTTAGAGATCAGTCCACCCAACCTCTTCCTTAAGGTATTTAGAAACCTATTTATTACACTTTAGCCGCCTTTTTTTGTCTTCATTGATGAGAAGATTGATGTTTCTTTTCTAACAACAGACCTCAGAAAGAACACAGTGCATTCAATGGAAAAACTACTGTTAATTATTGATTTCTTATTAAAGTTTTCATCAAATATCTAACTTGTCACTGAAAGAAAATTGATTTAATTCAAGTTAATGGTAGTCACTTTGGAAACTTTATTCTCTATATATGTTGAAGTTTCTGTTTACTTCACTTTGAAGTAGTTAATTAAAGTGTATTTTTTCCAATAAGTTCCAAATTCGATCGTTTCTCCAGAAAACCTGAAAATTGTTTACTATTTCAGAAATTACAAACCAGTAAAATAAAGCATTACTAAATTATTTGCACTGCTTTGCAGCACTTCTGCTATTGAACTCTTGCTTCCTCCAGATGGTGCACACCATATTGCAAGCTTAGAGAGAGGTGACATACATTAGCGCTTTAATATTTCAACCTGCCATCAGTATAACGTAGAGCATGTTTTGCAATACGTTAAGATGCACAAAAGGTATTCTTCAAAGCTTTTGTGTACTACAGCAAGACAACTAGGGTGCCAACTTTTCAACATTTTCTGTGATAAACTCTGTTGCTGTGTTTGAGTTAAAAATAAAAACAGATGTGACTGTTAACAAGGAGATGAGTTGTACTCGGCAGTCAAATTCCTCAAAAAGAAATGACCTGTTCTCACTTTATGAGCTTTGGTTTTAGAGCCTAAAGACAGAGCTGTCATTAAATCACCAAGATAAAGTTGAATATGCGAACTATCTGGAGAGTAAGTGCACTATCTCAACTAGCACACGTTTTCCATGAATGCTTCTCTGCATTTCTGCATTACTAAAAGAAAAATTATATAGTTTCAATAATAGAAATACACCGAAATGGTCAGAAATAAACCTTCACAGTTTCTATCTCGTAGCTACTGAGTAAATGTTCGCATAATAAAACATACATTTCTCCCACAGGAAGATGTACTCCTCTTAAGTGGACTGTTAACAACGTTAACATATTCCTTCTTGCATTAAAGCTTTAAAAGCATAATTTTAAGAAGATGTTTCGTGGGTAACAATGAGAGAGAGCTTTTTAAAAAGATATAAACATGAACTTGACCAAACGAGGTTGAGGAAGGTTAGACCTCGCTGCCTGAAGGCTAAAAGCTGCTTAGCTCTGACTCGGTGATAAAAATCAGTCCATATCTCCAATTCAACTCAAAACCACTAGAATGACTTTAGCGGGGGGGTCAAACCACATCGGAGACACATGACACACGAGAGACTCACCGTGTTGAATCCTGGGAAGAGGCGAACCGCTGAGGCTGTATCCAATGGAAACGGGAGAAACTGCTTCATGCCCAGTGAGGTCTGGATGGCAGGCAGGGTGGGGCGCACCAGGGCAGGCATGAGGCCATTTTGACATGTGTTACCTGTAGGAGGGAGAGCAAAGGCAACATGTTGAACTGCAGACAGCAACAGAGACAGAAACATGAGCCAAAATCTTTCAGTTTACATCCAAGTGAACCTTCAGTGTGTGTTTGTTTAGTCTGTTTCAAATGTGTCACAGTGTCTCTTTGCACTGTAAAACATTTTATCTGTGTTACTATGTTAGTTCCAGTGATTACAGTGCAAGCTGAGTTGATTTTAAATTGATGCCAGGAGTATGTGTGTTGTAACTCATCTGATCGCATGGAAATCCCCAAAATCTCCAATCTGAATGCTTTTAATGCTTGAGGCCTAGATAACCTTGAATTTTATAGCACTTTGGAGGATTTCTATCAATTCAAAGTAAAATATTTCATCCCTTTTTATAACAACGTTTTTTTCTTTTTTTTTATTAGAAATTTCATTTTATGTCTCAGAATTTGTGAATTTCCAAGCTTGTATAATGTTAGTGACAAAATAATCTCAACTCAAGTTCCACTTTCATGCTTTTTTTGAGTTTGAATTGACATTATACTTTCACACATGTTGATCCTGAGCTCAGGCATGAACTTCCACACTCAATGACTTCAGTGTAAAATAAACAACTTTGAATCTCACACCACCATTTTTGGGGATATTCATTATCAGTGCAATATGCACCAGGCATATTAAGAAGTTGATAATGGCATGGTCCATTCTTCACAATAAGTACTTTTACTCTTGATATATACATAGACACTTTATTTACTGTATCTATTGTTACTTAAATTAATACATTTTGATTGCAGGACTTGTGGCGTTGCTACTTAATTATTTCCACCACCACCACGGTGAAGAGAATGGTCTCCATTACTGTCAATTGGCACAAAGATCTGGTCTGCAATAAATTGGCTGCAGGCTTGTGAATTCTCTGAATTCAGTTTCCTCTTTTAATCACAATCAGACCCAAATTATGCACTGAGAAGCAGTTGTACATGCAGATGACCACTGCATGATGCTGCGATGATGTTTATCTCCCCCAAACAGATGTTCTCATTCTGAAATTGTCCCCACAAATAGCTGATGTGGAATGACTGCAGCAGGCACAGTGTCTTATGAGATGATTCAATGGCAAGAGAGGCCTGGCCCACACATCTCTAGGAAAAACAAAAGTAAATACTTCACTTTTATTGTCATGTGAGTGCGCCACGCCAGCAGAGCGCTTTATAAACCACCAATTGGAAACAGCACAGGGCTGATTTCAACACGGCGTGATCAAAAAAAAAAAAAAAAAAGGCAGAGAAAACCGTCACAGCCTTCCAAAACATTAGGAATTAAAGAAGCCATTTTGCAAAGCTGTAATGAGAACCAGAGGGATGATTTTTTTTTTTAGCGCTGCACATTTAACAACAGTGGAACTCTGGGCCAGCATGGCTCTAAAGAGCTGGCAGATACAGTACCAAACCACCGTCTTGAGACAAATAAAAACAAGGTTTGCCACGTTTCGGTCCCCACGCAGTGGTAAGGGGTAAATAAAAAGCAAAAGTCATAAAGACAAGAAGAGAAGAGGGAGAAACCACAGACTGTCCCCCCTTCTCTCGCTCTGTCTTCTGTCTTCTCCCTCCAGTCGCCGGAGCGCTGCCATCTGTTGGAAAAAGAACACATGCCGTCTCTCATGTGGAGGCACGTCCTAGTCCCAACTTTAGCAAAGCATGTCCTTCTGTAGGGATCATCCAACCGTGCCATCTCTCGACATGCCGGGCCTGACGTCAACCCGCAGGCACGCCTCACCTCGCACCCAGCCAAATCCTCCATTCACAGCACCGACGTGCACAGTCAAAACAGCCAGTTCAGTCACACCAGGGCTGATGTGTGGGATTAGTGCGCAGCGAGATGAAGAGTGACAAACTGAAATGTGAATTTGTTGAGTGATAGGAGATTGAATCTAAAATGTCATCACGGTTGTCTGGAAGTTTTTCTACTCATAACATCACGCAAAAGTGATTAGTTCCACCAATGAAGAAGAAGAATCATTTTTTTTTTATTTACACTGTCACTTGTGGAAGAAGCATTCAGATCCTTTATGTAAAAAAGCAGAAATAAATACAATAAAAAAACACTCATTTTACAGTAGAAAAGTAGACGTTCCTGTGGAGAATGGGCCCTTCTGTGATATAATACTACTGTGCTATAAATTTTTCATAGAGTGGGTAGATGAATCTATAAAAATGCACAATTTACATGCTGATCATATTTTCTTTGAATAAACAACAGCATTCTAAAATACTCACAATGCTAACATGCTCATTTTTAGTAGGTGTTTACAATGTGCACCATCATAAGCCGTCTCTACACAGGAGGTATTTTATCCATATTTTTGCGTTGTCTATCTCACACATCTGATCAATATACAGTAGCTGTATTTTTTTCTTTTGTTTTATATGTACTGTAACTCCACTGTTTTGTGTGTTGTTCTCCGAGCACTGCCAAAATGCAGGTGACCTACTGGGCCTGAACTGTGTCTACAGTAGACACAGATGGAGGACTGAAACAGCTGCATTTGCTACAAGGATGTGCAGCAACAGCCCATTTGTTCCCTTTGTCTGAGCAGCCCCTCTGGAAGAAAACATTCTGTTTTTGCTGTTGTGGTTGCATAAATACGAGTAGCCCATAGTTGTTACTGTTAGACCAAATTAAATTACCATATCATCCAAGCGTTTATCACATTTGATAGGTATGCGTCCAGGAGACACAGAGATGGGTCTGCCCAGAGCTGTAAAAAAACAAAAACAAAAAAGAAACGCAGCAAACCGATGCCCTATGTCCCCTGTCATGTGACACTGTATATCCAAACCAAACCCCCAAGGACGTGCGCCGGACTTTGAAGCCAATTTGTCAAAGTGGCCAGACCGTGTAATTACAGCAATGGCGCCTGTCATGTGACGCACACTGGCCCAAAAAGACTTTTTCCCAAAAGGTTACAAAAAGGTCACTGTGGCCAATAGAGGATGCGCAGTATGTATTCATCTGAGTAAAGCAGATTTTCATGCGCCACTGAGCAGCTTTCATAGGAATGAACAAAGTGCCGTCTCCACTGCTGTATCCAGTTCTCTTTATACATCCATGATCCAAACTTGGTATTGTTGCCATTGTTGTGAAGGCTGGTGAGTCTTTGGAAGTTGTGGTAATGGAACAAGAAATGGTTTAACCAATGGGATTCTTCCGAGCATCGCAAAGCTTGACACGTTTGCATCACATCGTGCAATATTGCCCTATATTGTGCTATCACATGAACCATTCTTAGCTAGCTAGCTGGCTGGCTGACATACAGGCAGGAGTAGCACGTCCCTGATTTGCTAATTAGCATTAACTACAAGTTCTACAGTTCATCCTGAGTCGGAACCAAAATTTCATGACAGTGGTGGATCGACTGACAGACCAACTGACAATGTCATCCCTAGACCAATAGTGTTGAAAAAGTCCTAAAAAACGACCCTGTCTGGTCAAAGGAGAACTTGTTCGAGTACTTTTCCCTCACTGGACACAGTGTCTACTGTTTACTGAATTTAACCTCTTCTAACCTTCCTAAAACTCACACCGTTTGTGGTATAATAAGGCAAATTGATTTCCTTTTGTCTCCTGTTGTGAAAGGTCTAACACAACAATCGAAAATCCGGCAAGCATGCCCAAACACAAAAGCACATTCCAGCCTGCAGCAGAGGTTAGTGTTTCAACTCTCTTGAGCCTGATCATCTGTCACCACCAGCAAAAGTGCAAAATATAAGGCAGAGCATGAAAATGAGCCCGTGGCTGCTAATGTGAACTTTAACCCGGACCTTTGAGCGGCAGACAAACTTCAAGATACTCCAGCACCAAGACAGAAAAAGCTTTTTTACTGCAGGCTCTGGTAGAAAAGCACAGATGGCATCCGTAATTATCACTTTGTTAGAAGTGTCAATAAATTTTTTTTTTAAAAATTCATATTTGAGTTCTGTCGACAACTTCTAAATTTTGACTCTACCGGCAGAGCGAGGGGCCCAGGTGGACTGAGTCTCTCCAGCTGACACTGTCATCTACTTTGAGAGTCACTCAGGAGAGTCACTTCACGCTGAAAGGTCAGCAGGTGAAAGTCATTAAAATAACTGGTAGAAGAGTGTTGGAGCAACCTGAGAGTTGGGCAGCATAAAACTGTGGAAAAGAGAGAGGAATTTACAGTTTTGTCTTGTCAGCCTAGTTTTACATTCTATTTTTCTGCCAAAAGTTTTCATTGAGATCACTAAACCAAAACTAGTCCAAATACAATACAAAACATAATTCGAATGAAAAACCTGATTATATGCCAGTATTGCCCCTTCTATACTTTATCCACAGTGCTAATTTGTTTACATATTGAATGCAGTCTTGTAGCTGAGTGAAGACTTCTCCCTATGAGCTCCTCATGCAGCCACTGACAGTAAGTATGTGATGGTTAAATATGAGATTTATACGTTTTTGAGGTTTTGAAATGTTTGTCTATGTAAAATATAACCACATATTTGTGTTTTAGGCCACACAGAGTGCTGCAAACAGTGCTTACTTTCTGTCTGCAGCCCTCAAACAACAAACCTAAAACCAACTTACACCAGATATCTATCTATATATGGGATGTGATTATGGCCCGATTTACCTGAAAGTGGACCACACACCTTCAACCCCTCTCTGTGCGTTCTATATACTGGAATATTTTATATGCTACATGATAGTGAATGAAAATGAGAATATGAGCACATAACTGAAAAAATGAAAGTCTTAAAGCTAGATTTCGACCAAGGTGAGACGCTCTTTAGCTTGACAATGCTTCAAAATCAGGAACTAGGAGGACCTTAAAGCTGCATTAATTACTATTTTAATTACCAAAAGATAAAATGTAATGTGAAAGGTGTTGCTTTAGACAAGGATTGTCTAACTCTGCAGGTCCCCTCAGTAACAGAGCATTTTATTGTCTTGTAGCTTGTTGTTTTGGGTCAACTTTACTGTTTAGATTCACTCTCACTGCTCCCACAGAC